AAGACCATTAGACTGAGGTGTTTGTCTTTAGCAGCCTTAACTGAAGCCTATAAATGCCTCAAATTTGGGAAAACAAAACATAAAGAAAACCAATCACCACTAACTAGGCATTCTCAAATGAGGCAGCCAATCATTTCCTTGCTTTGCTTCTGCATCTTCTCTATAAAAAGCTTTCCCCTAGCTCTATGGGGTGAACTCCTGATCACTTTAATTGGCAGTATGGTTCTGCAGGATTTAAATGATTTTGTTCAAATGAGTGGTTAATTTTTAAAATCGGCCTGTTTCTTTTGACAATATAGTGAAAAAAACTCGTTATGAAATCAAATGTGTATGTTATACAATCATGGCTTTGACATTTAGAGAATCAGGTCTCCTTGGATAAGTCATCCTCTGACTTTCAGCTTGCTTGTTTGAAAAGAGGTTTCCTACTTTCTATGGATGAGATAAAAAAGGAAAATGTATAAAAAGCTTAGCTTCTTTAGCTGTTCAATAAGTAACAAGTTATTATAGTTATTATAACATGTTTTCACACTACTAAGTTTAAGTTGTGTACTTGAAATCCATTTTCATAGTTAATAGAGCTTTCTGTTCAGCTACTCTAGAAGGCTATCATTCATGGTTTCTTTTAATTAGAATGGGCCCTCCAAAATTTCTCAAGCTTTCAAATTACTTAGATCAGTGTTTTCAATCCTGACTATCCATTTGCGTTACCTGGGAAGAATTTGAAAATTACTGACTCCTGGAACCTACCCCAGGCCAGCTAAATTAGGTATTAGGGCATAAGATACAGGCAACAGTATTTTTTTTATTTCCTTTAAAACTCCCCCAGGAAATTGTAATGAGCAGAAAAGAATGAGAATCACACAGCCTTGGACTAGAATCAACTATTAATGAGGCAAAAATGACAAAACAACCCAACATGTTTTTGCTACTGCCTGCTCTACAGACTGATCAAATTAAATCTAAACTGTAAACCGTAAACCAGGTAAGCACTGACTGAAGCAAGACAAATATGCTAAGGCAACCACACATTCTTATTTTCAAAACCCTCTATTAAATATAAAATTTCAGCATTAAAGAAAT